ATTCTGGACTAGGTCTCGGGGATGTAGGAAAAACCGAACCTCGTGAAAAAACTCTATGTGTTCTTTATTTTATGCTCATACATACTCGTTACAAACACAAACGTAGAGATCTAGCCACAAACCGTTTTTTCACAAAACACCTTGGACTCGATTTCTCTGATAATAGCTATTGTATGGCTACATGCGGGAATTGGCTCCTACTAGTAGATCCTAGCTCGATTTCTATATTTTGAATGTCTTAACTCGAGAAAGAATCAATCTTCCCTTAATGGAGTCTTCGATTCGCGGCCAGAAAGTTAGATTTGATAGAATAAGCCATTATATTAAGAATTTCATGTCAAAAGAGATCATTAGATCCAATCAATAAGCTGTTTTGTCTATAAACGAGAAAACAGGGGATTATTTCGTTGCTTGGACTTTCAAACAACATTACTTGTTCACACACAAGAAAGGAGATGATTCGTGGTGGAACTGGAATGTCGATGACACAAATTTGAGGATTTTGGATTTGGCTTATAAGAAAAACAAGCTTTATATGTATACTTGTGATGATCACAGCAAGATTCTTGATTTCTCTGGAGATTACCCTAAAGAAGAAATCGAAGAAAACCCGTATCGTGATCATCCTTGTCAGTATTATTGTCATTGAGGTAACATTTGGAAGAGGAAGATAGCGATTCTAAACTCGGGAGAGGTATTGTGCGTAAAATCTTCTGGAGATAAATGTTTACTGTTTTACATCTCTAAGATGAATCTTGAGAGTAAGAAATGGGAAATAGTAGAATCTATTGGAGATAATGAGATGTTGATATTTGGTCATGGGTTTACAATAAGGGCACCGGTTCAAGATGTTGGTGGTGCATTCAAGAGTGACTCAATTAGTTTCATTGATCAAGGTGATAATGCTTGGATAAGTAACGGTGTGTTCGATCTTGCGACAAGTAAAATCACTTGCCCTAAGAAATTAGATGTTATTTTAAATGATGCTAAGTGGTTTGTTCCAGGATTTGCTTAGTCTTTGTTCAAGTAGTTTTCTTTAATTTTAATCAAAGCATATTGGTTTTCTTATGTTTGAAAAAAGAAATTACATTGGATTCTCAAATATTAAACATAAATCATTCGTAAACTTCTCACAACTTTCTTTAATTTATTTTTCATAGCATGTCCAACCATAAAAGTATATTCAATATAGAAGCGTATACAACGATATCCGAAAGTAATTTCCAAAATAAATAAAAAACTCTTTGCGAAAACACTCGAATTTCCTATGAATTTTATGTTGTTTGTTATTGATTTTGGCTATTATAAAATCATCGAGAAACGCTACATCAATGTTAATGAGGTTAANCATCTCCTATATGTCTATGTTATTTTATGTGCAATTAAATTAAGAAAGATTCTTCATGTGCAAATAAGCTTAAGAAATGTTATTTTAACAAAAAAGGAAAACAAAAAAAACACTAAAAGCCAACTAAAAGAAGAATGACGAATGCCATGACGTGAGATTCAACTTTCTTTGTGATTGTGAAGTGAATCACAATTTGCAACATTTGATTTTGAGTAATTTATTATTGTCAAATCATTTAAGTCATCTATATGAAGTTCTTATTTATGTCAAAAATTGTTCTTGCAAACAAAATTGTAATTCGAGATTGTATTTACATTTTTCTCTCATTTCAGCAAAGTATTTGCAGATATTATCACTTAAAATATAAATTAAATATATTCATAAGTATTCTCAAAATATTTTAATGGCCGTAAAAATACTCGTGTTTCCATATCAACCAAGCATTAGCTGCCAAACTTTACTCTCTTTCATTGCGTCTTGCTCCAAAATCCAATAACAATACATACACATTCGGACATTCCTATCTCTTGATTCTCAAAACATCCACCCAAAGCTCAAGAGAGAAGAAAAAAAAATTAGAAACTTTTTACTTAGCTCTGCGAAAACACAGATCTTGTTTTCTCATCAACCAAAAGATGGAAACTTCTGAAAAAATCTCTAAACTCCATTTCTTGCTCTTCCCTTTCATGGCTCATGGCCACATGATACCAACTCTTGACATGGCTAAGCTCTTTGCCACCAAAGGAGGTAAATCCACAATCCTCACTACACCTCTAAACTCCATTCTCTTCGAAAAACAAATCAAATCATTCAACCACGAGAACCCAAAACTCGAAAACATCACAATCAAGATCCTCAATTTCCCATGCACAGAGCTCGGTTTACCCCAAGGGTGCGAGAATACCGACTTCATCTTCTCAAGCCCTGACCTAAGCAAAGGTGACTTGAATCTTAAGTTTCTACTCTCGATGACATATTTCGAAGAGCAGTTAGAACAGCTCATGGAGACAATGAAACCAGACTGTCTAGTCGCCAATATGTTTTTCCCTTGGGCAACTAAAGTCGCTGAGAAGTTTAACGTGCCAAGACTTGTGTTCCACGGCACAGGCTTCTTCTCTTTGTGTGCTTCTCATTGCCTAAGGCTCCATAAGCCATACAAGAAGGTAGCCTCGAGTTGCGAGCCCTTTGTGATTCCTGATCTCCCAGGAGACATTGTGATTACGGAGGAACAAGTCATAGAGAAAGATGAAGAGTCTGTTATGGGGAAGTTTATGAAGGAGATCAGAGATTCAGAGAGAAATAGCTTTGGAGTGTTGGTGAACAGCTTCTACGAGCTTGAACCGGCTTATTCCGATTTTTTCAAGAGTTTTGTGGCGAAAAGAGCGTGGAATATCGGTCCGCTTTCATTAGGGAACAGAGAGTTCAAGGAGAAAGCAGGAAGGGGAAAAAAGGCAAGCATTGATGAGCATGAATGTATGGAATGGCTTGATTCCAAGATATGTGATTCAGTGATTTACGTGTCCTTCGGAACCCTGACGAGCTTCAACAACGAGCAGCTTATAGAGATTGCATCTGGTTTAGAAATGTCAGGACATGATTTTGTCTGGGTGGTTAAGGAAAATGGCAGCCAAGGTAATCATAGACATCTCTCTAGTACTAGCACCATAATCCTCTTGTTTTAAAAAAAAAATAATCTAATGGTTTAGGATTCAATTTTTTCAATTGCTAACTTTTGTATTTGCTTTTACATGTGAAGAATTTCATTTTTTTTTAATTAAGTTCAGATTTAAACATGAAACATGTTTTCATTTTTCATAAAATTGTTTGCATAATTTTAATGTGAATTTTGTTTTTGTTAGTGTTTTACAGTGATTAGCAAAGAAAATTTGTTTAAAATATCAAAGATTTCTTGGTGTTGTGTGAGCAGGGGAGAAAGAAGAGTGGTTACCAGAGGGGTTCGAAGAGAGGACGAAAGGGAAAGGATTGATAATCCGCGGGTGGGCGCCGCAAGTGTTGATACTTGACCACCAAGCGATTGGTGGATTTTTGACGCATTGTGGATGGAACTCGCTTCTGGAAGGCATTGCATCAGGATTGCCAATGGTGACATGGCCTGTGGGAGCCGAGCAGTTCTACAACGAGAAATTGGTGACACAAGTGTTGAAAACAGGATTGAGTGTGGGAGTGAAGAAGATGGTGAAAGTTGTTGGTGATTTCATTAGCGGAGAAAAAGTGGAGAAAGCAGTAAGGGATGTGATGGTTGGAGAAGAGAGGAGAAGTCATGCAAATGAGTTAGCGGAAATGGCGAAAAACGCGGTGAAAGAAGGAGGATCTTCAGATATTGAGTTGAATAGGTTGATGGAAGATCTTAAGGTGGTTAAATTCCAAAATGAGAATGGATAAAAAAGTAGTATTACAAGTTAAGTGAAAATTGTATTTGTTATTGTGTTGGTCAGAGTTACATTCTTGAATCAGAACAATTACTTTGTTCTTCTGTTAACGGTTG